TTTCTTTCTTTCTTTCTTTCTTTCTTTCTTTCTTTCTTTCTTTCTTTTCTTCCTTTTCCTCCCTTCCCTTCTTCCTTCCTCCCTTCCCTTCTTCCTTCCTTCCTTCCTTCCTTCCTTCCTTCCTTCCTTCCTTCCTTCCTTCCTTCCTCCCACCATTCACATACCAAGGTTCTGAAAATCAGTAAAGTAGGGGGAGATCATATCTTAATACACGTAATATACAGAATGGCACAGCTAAGCTGTCTTTTGGAAGAAACATTAAATTCACCACCACTAACAACAACAAAAAAACCTTTTTACAAAACTGGAAATGACAGAATAGTTTTAAAAAAGAAAAAAAAAAAACCCACCCTACCTTCTGATGCTCAAAACTTCAAACTATTAATAGACCACCAGTGAGATAGACTGTCTTTGTGCCTTGAAATGCAAAATGAGGGAAATAATTAGCAGAGGAACAAAATTCTCAAAATTTGAAGAACTTCTGTGATTACTGGGGGTACAGTGAAAAGAAAATGCAAATTTCTTCCTGATCTTAATTAGATTCGATTGTGCGGTGGGTGTGTTGGATTTGGGGGGAGAGGCGGGGGCAGAGAGCGGGGGAGGCTGTGGTGGGGGTTGAGGCGAGGGGCTGTGTGATGTGGAGACAGGTTAACAGGGGCCTGGTGGTGTGGCAGGAGGAAAGGTGGCTTCCGACGCTGGTGCAGTAAACCAGTAAACGGTGTGCTGATGGGGCTAGAATACTGAGCCCTTAATTTAGCTGGGCTCATTTCCCTTGGGTCTAGGGGATTCATGGGGGGGAGGGGTGGGTACTGAAATAACAGCTAGGCTGCCTTAGGAAGGGGAAGCAGCCTGTGGGTTACTTTCCCCAACCACAAGGGAAAGCTGTGTGAGACGTTATGGGCTCTGCCTTGGGCTCTGTGGCCATCACTCAGCCTCTTAAGGGGGCATCTGCACAGAACCCCCAACACCAGAGCACCCCTGACCGGCCGCCCTCCAAACGCACTCTTTAGAGTCCACTGGTGGTGGTTGGCCAGAGTCCCGCCAAAGTATGTGCAGCAAGTTTCACTGGCTGGATTTCCCCTTGCGTGAAATAATAAAAGCCCTGGCCAAGGCTTATGAATCTATTTTTGTTTCATTAATATTATTTATTATGTATTTTATTAATATTTTTAGGAGGGACTGTGCTCTCATTTGACCATTTGTAGTTATAATTAATACATTCCGTACTGGTTGTAAAAAGTGTATTTGCATTTAATTGCAAGTCAGGCTAAATTAATGGATATGATTTAAAACAAAACTCACTTAAAATATTCTTGCAGGGAGCAAAAGAAGGGACAGTCCTTGCATTAAATTTGTTTCTGGGTGTCTGTGGTAAGAGGCTTGAAACGATTGTGTGGGTCTAACAGGAATCCGGTGTGTGTGTCCGAGAGACATGGGGGCCACGCAAGGGGGAGGAGTAAAACCTGGGCAGGGGGAGGGGCAGCCGGGAGCTCCCATCTTTTCTTTAATTTCTGAGGTTACCAGGAGGGGCTTAAGCAAAGTGGTCAAGTCCATCTGCTCCAGGGAAGGTGGTAAAGAAAGGAGGTTAGTGGCAAGAGGGAAGAAGCACAAAGGGAAAATTGTACATTGGGAACGTTGCTCTCGCGGCCGTGGTGTAGACAGACTGGTTTAGCAGACAGAATGATAGATTGTTTTGTCAAGGGTCCCAGGGTGTGCCCTGAACTTGAAGCACTTTGTTTATCTTGAATAGAAAGGGAAAAGAACAGACATAATCGATGTCTAGTTTTTAGGAGCTCGAAAGAGGTAGGAGAACAGAGAGGAGTCGGGGAGGTGGGGGGAGGTGCAGCCCTTGGTTGTGGCTGTCCATTAACAGATGAACTTGGCCGAGGGCCAAGCTTTAGATGAGAGCATGTCAGGGCCCCAGTGCAGCCAAGCCTTTTCAGTGTTTTTTTTTTTTTTTCTTTTTCTTTCTTTCTTTCTTTCTTTTCTTTCTTTCTTTCTTAAAAAAAAAAAGAAAGAAAGAAAATACCTGCTGACTACATCAAATGCTCCCAGGTTTTTGGCTAAAGGCAAGAAAAAAAAAAAAAAAGACACAGCTCAATTTTTTCCCCTCTGAACCAGTTGAGGCCAGTCTTTTGGCTACACACACAGGTTCTATCATCTTTCCTGGCTTGCCATTGGGAAAAAAAGAGTTATGATAACGCCAGTAACCCGAGGGCCTGGGACAGGAAGGGTTCGGTGTGTTCAAGAGACCAGCGTGTGTGAGCGCGTGCGCTGCGGCTAACGTGTGTGCGGAGCCGGGGCGGGGCGTGTGGGCCGGCGTACAGGTAGGAAGTCGGTGCCAACTAATTCCTTTCATTTTTTAATTTTTTCTAATGTGTGTTTATTTTTGAGAGACAGAGACAGAGAGTGAGTGGGGGAGGGGTAGAGAGAGGGAGACACCATATCCGTAGCAGGCTCCAGGCTCTGAACTGTCAGCACGGAGCTTGATTGGGGGCTGGAACTCACCAGAAGGGAGATCTGGACCTGAGCCGGAGTCCTTCGCTTAACCGACTGACTGAGCCACTCAGGCGTCCCCAGTCTCCTGCGTACCCACCACCCCCACACCCGCCTCGCCCCGACCTTTTTTTTTTTTTTAAAGAAGTTAAACTCCTTGCTGGGAAAGACCTGTGAACTAGTCTGTTGGTGGCTGGGAAAGAAAATAACACCCAAGCAAGACCCAGGAAAGGCCAGGGATGGGGGAAAAAAGCGCCCCCATCGGAAGCACAGCACTTGCCGTGCAGGGCTGGTGGCAAACCCATGCGTCTGGGGCTTGTTTTATTCTCAATTATCTTATCTCTTTGGTCTGTTTCTGTGTTTTTTAGTTTATTATGACATTATGCATTCACTTATGAGTGTTGGCAAGCAAGAGTCATCAGCCCAATAACTTCCTGACATTTTTAGCTCTTTTAATGTGCAATCTTTGCCCTCCTGCCACAAGTGGCAAGGTAATTGAATTTCCCTGTTACTTACTGGCGGGAGGCATGTTCTGGTTCCCACCAGAGGAGCTGCTGGCACTAAAGCTGGGTTCATAGAATTCTGCCTAGGGGATACGGGGGCTTCCGAGTGGTTTGGGGGCCTGTCCGAAATGCAGTCCACACAAGAATAGATGTGTTTTTCCCATCACAGACTTGAAAAGGCCCCAGGGTGAACGGCCATATAAAATAGGATAAAATCGTGTTTACTTCCCCAGGCTGAAGCCTCAGCAGGGAGATGGGCTTTTCTTCTCCTTCTCCGGTAGCAAATAGAAACTGGGAAACTTTGGAGGCCTCTGGGCTTATCTCACAGATAACCCCAAACATTCAACAAAGCCCTTAGATGCTTTTTTCACTCCCACCTATGTGTCTTTGTAACCTGCAGGCTGAAAGAGGGGAAATAAGCCCTTAAAAATACATTCATCTCCTTTCATCTCCTTTTCCCCCCATCTTCAGCCTCTGTGAGTACATGAAGTAAAATGGTGAAGAAGCGCTGCCATTTCTAGGTGTGTGAGCTTGGGCAGATTTCTTCATCCTCTAAGCTTCCATTTCCTCATCTGTAACATGGGGGGAGCCGCAGGACCCACCACACTGGGGACCTCATTAGCATTGCAGGAAAACACTTGCCTGGTACCAGGTAAGCACTTGAGAAAAGCCAGTTACTATTATGATTCTGACTCATGGCTGAGCACTTTTTCTCCTATAAGAACTGGGGTCTCAACCTAGTTCCTCACAGTGTGGGGGTAGCAGGTTGGGAAGAGAGGTGAGCCGGGCAGGGAGAGTTCTAATGGGCTCAGAGCCTCTTTCTGCCTCAGGGTGGGCTCCTGTGGGAACCTGTGGGAAAGGGGCTGTTGGGTGGAAACGGCTGAGAGTAGCCCTTGTGGGACTGGTGAGGTGGGGCGATTGGAGGGGCTTCTCCCCACTGGCAGCTCCCTCAGTGCTTGGCCTCTCTCCCTACAGAGAGGGATGGCGTGTGCTGCATTGCCAAGGGAGGGTACCTGGGTATGTGACATAGTCACTCTGGGTTCCAGTTCCTGCTTCACCACTGACTGGCTGGGAGCGTTGGGGCAAAACGTTTAACCTCTGGGAAATGGAGATAACCCAGGGCACCTCCCTTATGTAGGGTCCATGAGACGAGTAAATGAGAGAAAGCACATACATTACTTGCCACCCAGGACACGCTGGCAGAGTTGCCATTGCTATACTATGTATCTGATGCCTTGTTATTCCATCCACAGAAGCCCCAGAAAGGAGATCTTATTAGCCCCATTTGGTAGATGAGGAAATTGGGGCTAACCAAGGGCTAGATAACTTCCCTGAGGGTTCACAGTTATGAAGGGTTTAATCCTTTGGCTTCTAGTCATCATCCTCTGTCACCTCCTCAAAATATTTGCAGCTTTCCGTAGTGGAGCTGGGCACCAGTTGGGTGGGAAGCGCTGGTGTTGGACGGCTGGCCCTCCTGTGGGTTCTGTGGTCAAGTTTTTTAGTCTTCTGGGAAAGAGAAGAATGTTCTCATCCAGTTCCTGGGCGGCTGTCCTGGGCGTATTGGCGGAGCCTTGGAGCTGTTGGAAAGAGTTGTAATGTGAGGAGTTCTGCTTTGCAAGTAGTCACTTCTCCATCTGTCCAGAGTAAGCCAGAAATGGGGCGAGGGTCCTGTGAAGACCAGGAAGAAGGTTTCCTATTTGTGTGTGACTTGGTTAGGAGATGGCAGTAGGCTGACCAAGAAACCAAGCTAGGACTTTTAAGGGCTGGTGAACCCCCTGGCTTTCAGCATTTCTGTTCTCTTGTCTCTCTGACGTTCGCTTCACTGACCACACCTTAAAGAGGGGAGGGGGATAATCAGAATTATACTCTGACAGGGAGAGTATGGGAGTGTGTGTGTGTGTGTGTGTGTGTGAATATGTGTATGTAGGGAGTGCTGGGGGGTTAATAACCTGCTTCTATGAGGTTTTCATTTCTAGCTGAGCAAGTGCTGTGGTAAGGCAAGTCTGGAAAGCATGCTAGGGGACCTGAGAAAATTTTTGAATGGAAACTACAGTCAACAACTCCATATGATCCACATGTGGCTTTCCCTGAGGCAAGTTTTCAAGTGCATGGTGGCCTCCCCCAGTCACTCCGCAGGCTGCTCTGACACCATTAATATTTGCTGAAGCAAGACCTGAGGTTCATTGCAGAGGGATTACATAATGTATTCCGAAACCAAATGTCAGGGTTTTCCTTTAATTACCCATCCTTTTGAATTGGCTGGGCCACCATCAACCACCATTTATATAGTTTCAGAGTCCATTGGGTAGTTTGGAGGCGCCTACTGTATGCAGAGGTCCCATGGGGGAACTGAAGAGTTGGCTTCCGCAGTGACAAGGGTTGGCTGGGAGTTCTGCTCACCTGGTATGCTCTTCTGTTCTGTTTGAACCGAGGGAAGTTGTTCAACCAAGGGGTTGTCATCGGCATGGATTCAGGCCGTCTTCTGAGTTGGGGGTAGGGATGGAGGTGGCTGCTGAGAATACATGTGGGTAAAGAACTCCAAGCCTTACGTTTCAATTCTCATGCTGCCCTGGAACTACTGGATCCTTGCTTCCTTGCCCCTTGCCTTTTCCCCTGGTTCTCCACATTGTCTCTACCTGCCCCAGGTTCAGGACCGTAGCGGTATTCCTGATCACCCCAAAAGAGAAGTTCTGAATTTTGTTCCTGGGACTCCTAGATTGAAAAGCAGAAATGATAAAAGGAGTACCATTGCTTTAGAGGTCCTATTTTTCCCCTCCAGTTTTCTCCCCATTCTCTTGAAAATCAGGCCAGCTCTCTGATGGTGGCCTTTCATTTCGTTTTCTTTTTTGGTTCTGCCTTCATTAAGGTAAGCATGAATTTAATGCCCCAAGAGGCAGGCCGGCGACCCTTCAGGCCAAGTGCCTGGATGTGGCAATGCTATAATAAATATTGAATGGTGAGAGCAATGGAAATTTAACAAAGCCATAACTGAGGAGACCGCAGAGGGGCAGCGGACTGGTTAAGAGGCTGTCGGATGAGCTGGGTAGTATTTCTACTTCAACCTGATTGAAATGTCGACTAAAAATCAATGCTGTTGACTAGTGATAATTTACAACGTTCCCGGTGCTAAGTAGTTCCCCGCTTAAGAATGCGTTGGCTGGGCAGAGATTAGTGCAGGGAGTTGTGTGTGTCACAATGAATCAGACGCATTATAGGTCAGCCCTTTATTTGTTTCATCATGACTTTTACACAGTTGTCATGTAATTTATGGCTGCTTTCACGTTGTCAAACATTTTCATTGCATCTTCTTCTTTAACACACTCCTGACACCGACGCGCTGTCTTGGAAGGCTTGGTATTATTTCATAATCCGAGAGGAGGCCTATAAACCATCAAATTACACTATCTTTGGGCTAATCTAAATGCGCTGCAGATTAAAATCAGAGCTCATTTGTCCCTGATGCAAATTATTAAGTTCTAATTATAAATATCCATTTAATTACCCCATACATTTTTATTTTGCGGACCCTTTTGAGCACTGCTGTCTGCG